CCAATTGCTAACTGTAAATATGTAACTTTTATTGCATGTTAATACAAATTGTGTTTTATGGCTGAATCCTATAACAAATTAACACATATAAAACTTACAGTAACACATCAATCATTCTTTGAATGTTTTATGTAAGTGTCTATAATGTCAACCTTTCCCCATTGAAACATTCCAAACAGTATTTGAAATACTGAGAATTGTTATATAGAATTTTTAGTTTAGTTTGCAGTTCATTGTGATTACACTCTCCAAGTACTCACAGTATTTTCGGTTTATGTGTAAGATTATTTGGAGATTATCTCCATGGATACCAAAGCATACTCAATATCAAAGCAGAGTAGAAGTTTTCAAAAAGAACTCAAAACATTTTTTACCAAAAGTATTAATCAAAAATAGAGACTTGAAGAAATGTGAAATTTACGTAAGAACTGTGCTACTATTGGGGAAAATAGAATGTAATATTGAAATGCCAGAGCACTTCTGTTTTTACATTACTCCAATATCTCATTCGATAATTTTGGTTTTCAGAACAAACCAGACAATAGAACAGCGCAAAGAAAGCTAGCAGAACAGGTGACATTGCTTGTACATGGAGGTATTCATTTTTATCAATTTTCTTCAAGACAACTATTTTTTTGATTGGAGTTATTTATTAAATTCTTTGTGCTTCAAAGTAGTTCCTCAGATTATTTGTTAACAGATGAAGGTTTAAACACTGCTGTAAGATTCACCAATGCACTGTACAGTGGAAGTCCTGAAACACTAGAGAAATTATCAGAGAAAGAGTTGAAAGAACTGTTTAAAAATGCACCATCCACAACATTGACATTAGAACCTGGGATAACCATGTTAGATCTGGGTAAAAAAGTCAACAGTCTACCTTCTACAGGAGGTGAGATAGTCAACTCATTAGTTTTATGAAAAAATTATTTCATACGTGTATACTTTTCACAAGTAACATTTTTCATCTACATATATTTCATACTAGAATACTGTAAAATAATTTATTTTCGCTGAAGTGATGATTCCGTGAAAATAAAATCCAGCAAATATCCCTTATAGTTTGTTCCTATATTTTACATTCAACTCGTCATAAATCAATAAAAATAATTTCCAGACAAAACAGCCGAAAAGTCTTTTGAATGTCAATTCAAAAAATGAATTCTAGTAACTTTATTTAAATGTTTTTGCACAAAATTATGAAAGTACCATTCCTACCTTTGCCTTTGTTATGTCTGTTTGTTAATATTGACGATAATTCACACAAGTAACAATCATTTATGTTATTTTTCAGTTCAAGGTGAGAGAATCATCCAAGAAGGTGGATTCTATGTGAATTATAGGAAAATAACCAATCCAGACCAAATTCTGTTGCTAGGTGACCACATACTGAAGAATGATTTAACCCTACTCAGAGTGGGCAAGTACACTTTCCAATTTGTTTATTTAGTATTTATCAGTTCCAGTGAGCTCTTTTTTTTCTTCTTTCCTACTTACTCTGTCATGGCATATGCATGGGAATTTAAATTCATTCATAACTGCTTTCTTATGCATTTGTTGGAGCAATTCATCTAGGAGCATAACCTTGTTTGCCTACCGGTAATCTTCTTTATTGTTTAAATATACTTTGCTGTGAAATTTACAAGTTGAAAAGCCAAAATGGTGATATGTTCTCACAGCAAATACGACTCAAATCCTGGTTAAAAAGTAACCATGCATGATCAGAGGCAGCTCCATTGCTTTGGTCTTAAGTTAGAATGATTTTTTTGGGCAGTTATGTGCAAAAGTAATTTGTCATTTTCTGTTCAACCTCAGATTGGCTAAGTGGTAAAGTCAATTTACAATGTCGGTGAGATCAATACATTGCCAACCATGGTCAGCAGTCATGGCAACCAAAGAAAAATAGGATGTTGGAGTCGTAATTAACTTTTGAACAATTTGTCATTTGGATCACCGTAGCGATCTGCATCCTAGGATCTGTATGTATACATCTGATTCACAGACACACCTCTCTAATATTTGTCCCGTTGTTTATTGCAGGAAAGAAGAATTATCACATTGTAAAGTGGGTGTACTGATGACTCTATATTCAACATTGCATTATATTGGCGGTAGCACCTGCTTAACATTTTTTACAGCCAATCAGAATGGATGTACTATACTATCAGCAGTGCTCATAATATTACTTTATTGTGTTATAACATGGAGTTAATAATCAAATGTAATTTATCAGGAGTTTGTTTAATAAAAATATATACAAACATGGCATCTTGATGCATTGAATATAAATTTTGCATATTCTGTTTAACAATGCGGAATTAGAAATGTATGCTGGATTGCTTTTTAGACTTCATTTGACGAAGACCGTTTTGTTTATGATAATCATCGACTACATTGTCTCCAAGTTTCTTTTGGTCGTAAAATTCTTTTTTATTGCAAAAAAACAATAATATACACACATTTAAAAAGGACCATGGAATCCATAACAATGGTATGCAAAGTATTTAGTCATAATATGTACACTTACATTGTAAAGTAATATGGGACAAATGAATTTTAAGTTATTATACAAAAATGAATCTCTTTCATGTAATGCATAACCTCTTCTCTCAGTTTTATATAGTACAATCCAACACAGATGATACACTGTTTTTAGATGCATTGGCACATTCCATTATTTAACTGGGGGGGGGGGTACATTTTAATCTTCATCAGTGATACCCCGTGATGCGAGGGATACAGAGACTTTCCTCAAAGCTGGTTGGATGTGAGGAAACTCTTGATTAAGTCTATCTACAATAGATGTAATGGTATGTATGCGGTCTCCTTGTTTTTCCATTTCATTGTCCAATGCTTGGTCAGTTTTACACAGTAATGTGTATTTGCCGTCCTTTAGTGCCTGGTAGTGTTTTACTTTCTGTTGCCTTGCAATCAAATCAGCCATGTTCTGTGAAGTGAGAATAAAAAGAAGTGTTACACATGCATTTACATTCTCTGATGACGTGTAGTTAAATCAAAGATGGATTGTAACCACTTTTATTTACCCATAATAATTTTAGTTTTTGATAAAATGAATGTCCAATCACGACTTGAACAGCGTCCTCAGTGTTGAACAACTGTGACCCACACTTTTTCCAACATAGCTACTAACCAACAAGGTGATGCATCAAACTAACAATAAGTCATGCTGGGTGTGAGACAAAGGAGAATTTGCTGGTGGAAATTTTTAAAAGAATGCTCAAGCTAAATAATTGCTACTTACCCTTCCTTTGATTTCCATGAGTTTATCAATATCACCGTCTAAAGTATCAGCCTGGCCCTGTAGATGTTGGTAATTTATTTGCCTTTCTTCTAGTGTTTGACTAAGTTGTTGTTGATGGCCACGTAACTCTGCAATATCTGAATCGCAAGAACTTGCATCCTAAAATGAAGAAAAAAATTTATCATACAGGTCATGTAAATTAATGTGCTGCTGTGAACAAATAAAAATAGTTCGGTGAAAAGATGAATAATTTGTTAAAATCAAGCATTTTGGCGGATTTAATTACTAGTATCTTCGGTGTGAAGTTCAAAAAGTTCAAATTTAGATCACAAAGTTAAATTGTATACAGTTGTACGAAGCCCTATCTGGTTTGTATGTTTCACATTGTACAGAGTCTAGATCAGGCATACCACTTGTACTTGCATGTGAATAAGAAAATTATTTTTGTTCGGATTTCTTCTTCATGTTCAAAGTTACTGTTGATTTAGATAAAATTTCTGTACATTTTTTTCTCACTTTTATTTGATAAGTTTAAAGCAATATTTTCGGCAAGCCCAAGGTGAGGGGTGGGATGATTTCTTACAAAAACATGACACACCCATACTACCTAATTTGGATTACAGCCGTTCTGAGAATTATTCGGACAGTCAGTTAGCAATATATCTTGGAACTTTGCAAAACACTTTCTAATACAGACTTGATGGCAAAGTGTTATTTTAAATTGGTATAACCATCTGAGTCCACCCCAGGTATTAATGAACTTGTCGTTGGCGGGAAGGCTCAAAGTAAAGTTTCTTCTTTCTTTCTGCAGTTTCGCGACAGTTTTGAGCCAAACTAAAAGTTGTTTTTACATTACTTGTGCATTAAGTATCAAGTTCAGATTTTATACCGAGGTGGGAGAGTACGTCAGGGATACATGGATGGAAAACTTGATTATAACGATTTGATGGACTTTGTCAAATCGAAGGTGCCATCCTTGAGCAAATCACTTTTTCAACTGCAGTTTGAAAATGACGAGGGTATGACAACAGTTATTATGTCTAGTCCATTTTTATAACAGGTACAACTGACTAAAATGAGTGAGGTGTTGAAATTTTCGACAAATTTAAGCAACACCCAAGCGATTTTTAAAATTATTGACAATAATTACAATATAAATATAAAAAAATAAAGAATGGTTTCTGTATATGCACGCTAGATAATACTTTCAATTCACCATGCTGACAACCCCTAAGAAATAGTAATTCCAAACCACGCGCCTGTCAATCAAGTGGCGCCGACAAGTCTAGATTGGGCCAAAGTGTTTTGCAAAGTTGCAAGTCATTTTGCTAACTGACTGTCCGAATAATTCTCAGAACGGCTGTAACATTTCAGTTGGCCATGTTTCTTTGCATGGGTGACAGTTAGCTGTTTTGCAATTTAGGTAGCAAATTTTAGTTATCTTTGAAAACTGCAGTTCCATGTGCATGTGCCCCACCAGAAATGCAGAATGCTTTACATCAAACTAACTCAATAAAACCTTAAGATCCACGGAACTGATTGGTGATGTTCTGCTATTGGCAGGAAACTTTTGACGTGGATATCTTGTGAATATCGGAGCTGTTGCATTCATGTATTTACTTCTAAAGTAACATCAATACAGTTGTGCAAATAATCACAGATTATAAACTGACAATAAAAAAACTAAATGTATATAACTTACTTGTTGAACTTTTTTCACCTTTTTCTTCATTTCAGATAACTTCTTCTGAAACATTCCTTTAGTTTCTACTTTTTTGTCCATTTTAGACTGTGCGTCACCTCTAGTGACAATGGTGTCACGTCTGGAGACTGCCTTCTCCATATCTTGTATCATCTTCTCTTGCTGCTTCATCAGTTGTGCATAACGCACTTGCATACGATGGATTTCAGCTCTCATGGCACCAATCTCACCCTGGCCTACTTCAGAATCTACCGCTGCCTTAGCTTCACGGGCCAGCTGTGTTTTCTTCTCCCATAGCATGATCTGTCGTCTGAGAGGGAAAGAAAATGATATCAGTATTATTATTTCAGGATGAAAAGAATCATCACGCATATAAAATCAAACTGCAACTAAGCATTCTGCATGTGTCCATAGTAAAATGCAATGGACTCTGGAACTTGCATTTGTGATACACCAAGCGACGGTGTAAATGCTAATCTGTCACGGATGTACTTATATATATATATGAGTACTAATGTTATTTTACATGTTTTTGTGGTTTTCACTTAGCAGATTTTATCTATCAACGAAAATAAAATCCAGTGAATAATGAATGCACTTGCAGTATATGGTGGTGTTGCATGCATTATGACTCAAGTAGACCGTCATGGTAAAAAACACTGAATAATTCACAAGTCTATAAGCTGCAGCTACAAAAAATGATTATTTATCAAAAATTACTTACTCAGCTTCAACAAGACTGTTTAGCAGTCTCTCCTTCTCTTCAGTCAATTCTTCCACATTTCTCTGCATACGGATAGAGTTCAACTCCGCCTCCTGGAAATGTACAAGATGAACAACCAAATTATAGTTAAACACATATAAATAATGGAAAACATGTAAAATCTTGAAACACAAAGGAATATGATTGTAGCAAATAATGATGTCAGTAAAGTCACTTACCTTGAGACTTTGTACAAAGTCACTCTCTACCAGTACATTGCCTTGTTCCAAACCTTCTTTTATCTTGCCCTGCTTTGTCAACAAGGTGTTTAGTTTGATCATGTCATTCTGCATATTACTGATATTTCTATGAATGTTCTCATCCTCATTAGTGTGGGTGCTGATTTCATCTGAAAATACAAAGAGACAAAGTCAATTACCTACATAGATTGGTATGAGAAGTCACACCCCAATCACATTAGTCATATATGTGTAGTTATACTTGCTGTAATACCGGTATATAGTACACTAAACTTACTTTCAATTCTCAATTTCTTCTGGTGGAGGATAGTTAATGCTTTCTTCATAGTTCCTACTTCTGTCTCCTGGCTATCTTTCTCTTTGCTAAGTTTGACCAGTTCATTCTGTTGCCGCAACCAAAACTGCTGTAATTCCCCAATTTCTTGAGAGCGTTGTTCAATATTCTTTGTAAGTGCATTGATCTCATGTTCCAGTGGACCAAGTTCTTCTCCCTATAGTGACAAAATAAAGTTGTAAATTCAGTTTAAGCGGAAAAAATTATTACCATGGCTTCTGATAAACCACTGTACTGTACAATGAGATGTAGTTGTAAGCCAAATATCTCAAAATGGCCATGCAATTCCGAGTACATGTAAAAGAATTACTTACCCCTTGTGCAGTAGCAATGGATTCTATCTTTTTATTGTACTGATCAATTTGTCCCTGTTTACGTTCAATTATTGCATTACGGCGAACTATTTCATTTTCACTTCTCGAAATAATATCATTCTTATCTCTAATTTCGATATCATGCTCTTTTGCAACCTTTTTAAGTCGCTCCACTCTTGTCATGGTATGTGAGAGTTCCATGGTATCTCTCGCAATCTCATTTTTGACTGTTGCCATAGATGATTCCTACAAGATGAAGTAAAAATAAAATGAACATTTACACTGCTTCACATCAACCAGAACACAAGTTCCAAGCAACATTATTTGCATTGCAGTATAAAAATGAGTTAAATAGTTTTGCCAAAAAAGTAATTTGCAGATGTACTGAAATTGGAAGAGTTCTACACAATTTATTTATTTTCTAATAATACAGAGTAAAAATCCTGTAAAAATAAATAAAATCTAACATGTAACATTAAAAAAAATGTTCATACCTGATCCCTTGTTCTTCCTCTCAACTTATCAGTCATCTTTTTGGTGTATATAGCAGCTTTATCCATCGTCAGTTCCTCCCTCATTTTTTCCAGAATGGTATCTTCCAAACGAACTTTCTCTTGATATTCTCTTTCAATTTGTTTTCGTAGTGCATTTAATTCATTCATTCTAAGAGTACGGTCCTAATAATGGTGAAGTAAATATACAATGTAAGTGTAAAAGGAATAAAAATGCAGATTGAACCATCCATTAAGGTTACTGCTTTAAAACCGTATACATTATTGGAAACATAATCACAAACTTGCTCTCAGTGTTAACTTTTTGAACCCACCAATATTTTTTTGCAGTATTGTTAATTTTCTACATACCGGTAATATTTGTTGTTACTTTTAGATCGAAATAACATTGTATTCCATTAGCTTTTTGATTTTTTAAAAAGAATAAGGAAAAATGTTATCTTCAAAAAATGTTATTGTATATTTTGAGAATGATTGACTTTAAAAAGTGGACACATTGTTATCACACCAGAATACACACACATTTTATTTCATACATTGTGGTGCTCATTGGATACATTCAGTTACACTTGAATTGTGGGTAAAGAATGAAGAATGCATTACACCAACACGCATATTGCTGTGTGTAGTATGCAACCTTATCAAACACCCTTTAAATATATTTAAAACAGAAGTACAGAAAAGTAATGAACTACGAAAGAAGACTGAATCTAACAAACTACATTTTTAACATTATAAATCATCAACAGTATGCATTCAAATGTAATGATTACACAATGTAGTAGAAACACAAAATGTAATGATTACACAATGTAGTAGAAACACAAAATGTAATGATTACACAATGTAGTAGAAACACAAAATGTAATGATTACACAATGTAGTAGAAACACAAAATGTAATGATTACACAATGTAGTAGAAACACAAAATGTAATGATTACACAATGTAGTAGAAACACAAAATGTAATGATTACACAATGTAGTAGAAATACAAAATGTAATGATTACACAATGTAGTAGAAACACAAAATGTAATGATTACACAATGTAGTTAAAACACAAAATGTAATGATTACACAATGTAGTAGAAACACAAAATGTAATGATTACACAATGTAGTAGAAACACAAAATGTAATGATTACACAATGTAGTAGAAACACAAAATGTAATGATTACACAATGTAGTAGAAACACAAAATGTAATGATTACACAATGTAGTAGAAACACAAAATGTAATGATTACACAATGTAGTAGAAACACAAAATGTAATGATTACACAATGTAGTAGAAACACAAAATGTAATGATTACACAATGTAGTAGAAACACAAAATGTAATGATTACACAATGTAGTAGAAACACAAAATGTAATGATTACACAATGTAGTAGAAATACAAAATGAAAAGATTACACAATGTAGTAGAAACACAAAATGTAATGGTTACACAATGTAGTAGAAACACAAAATGACCAATTAGGCTATGTTTACATATTTAATCATAAAAGACACTCACCGTTGATGCTCGATTCAATGACTGCTCAGTTTCATGCAGCATTCTAGTGAAAGTGCTATATTCTTGTTTTATTTTATCTTGCTTGTCCTGACACAGTTGGATGAGCTTCTTTGTCGTAGCAATGTCTGCTTCATTTTTCCTCAAAATAAGGGTCAATGTCTCATTACTTTCCTGTTCCTTCTGGATGGATTTTTTATAGCCGTCTATTTCAGTTGCATAAGATTGTATATTCTGCTGTTGTTGACTGGAAAAGATGATAAAATATTAGGTAAGTTAATGCTTACTTAAGTATGAACCTGTTTTTATATTCCCTTTCACACATGCACAAGGGTTATGATATTTTGTTATGACACAGTGAATTGGAAAAATGAGATATAAGAGATGTAATAATAAGATGAATTTATACTAACTGTTGTCTAATACATTCCTGATTATATTTTTCATGATGTATAATTTTCAACCCCTGTTGATAATGCTAGTTGGGATTGAAATCTGCTGTAGAGGCCTCGGTCATTTTAAATATATGGCTGGCAGTGTGCACACTTCTGATTACATCAGAATTCATATTTTAGATCACTTTCTTCAAGTGACAAAATCTTTTTTTTATCAAGATACAATTGAATTGACAAATTAGATGAGTAAGTACCACAACAGACATGCACTAGAAGTCATATATTAGAGACTTTATTTTCTGAAGCGAGTCATCACTCATCTAAATCAAGACCTGGAAAACCTAATTATCACTCTCCCAATCCATAAAATTGTGACGATATTTTAATACTGCAGCTACCTTGTGTTACTGTATTCAGCAGAGCAATATTTAGCTTCCAGGCCAACTGAAGGGCTTGTATTAAAAGCAACAGGCACATCTAGTTTGTAATCAGACTCAGGTTGCAATACAATTTCTACTTTATCATGTGGTCATACAGTTTTGTAAGAATCAATGGAGATTTATTTGATGGGTTAATTTGTTCATGGTTATCCTATTTGTTGATCGATGTCAAATGCAGAGAAAACAATGTGAATGTAAATGACTTACTGAAGTGCCTCCATCAAAGCAGCATGTGCTTCATCACGTCTTCTCATACCAATCAAACTACTATGCCACTGTTGTAATAGATGCTTCTTTTCTAAGTTGATACTCTGCAACATAATGAAATAACATGTTATCATTATCTGCATCTTTAAATGTGGACATGCACAGAACCATAATCATGTGATATACACCTACCTCAATCTCATTTTTAGCTTCACTCAGTGCTTCCTTAGCTGCCTTAGTTTCTTCCGTCTGTGCCGAATGCTGCGCTTCATACATGGCTATCTTTTCTTTCAGTTTGTCCACAATCTCTGTTAGTCTGTCTACATACAAATCCTGTCTCTGTTTTTCAGTCTCTGCTTTAGTGACTTCAGTATCGGCCTTTTCAGCTGCCCGTCTCATTACAGCAATATCTGATCGCACATCTTCTTTGGCATTCGACAGATAGAACAGTCTGGTTGCTAAATTCTCAACTTCAGTCTGTAATTCAGAAGCTGTGGAGTGATAAAAATAATAAACAGTCAGTGAGAGGACCTCCAAACAGATTCGAAAACATACGAGTGAGATAAGACAATAGCCAATCAAAAACAGTGTTACATAGTCATAGGATATTCCTCACCTGTCTTTCGTTGCCCAGTCACATTATTCTGGGTGTATTTATAAAAATGTCTCACTTCTTCTAGTTCTTCATCACACTGATGTCTGACTTGATTTGTCTGACTGAATTCATCATGTAGCTGTTCTAACAGCATCTGTTGCCTGGCTAATTCTTGCTGCAGACCATACAAATTTACACCAATGTCTTCTCTGTCTTTCTTTTTGTTCTTCAATGCTCCAAGCTAAAGTGAAATATTTAATGTGTTTGAGTGAATAATGTTTAGCTTGAAGCCCAAACAGATTATCCTAAAATACAAAACTTTAATTTACTATAACAATTTAAATCCTTGCTTAAGAAGTAAGTCAAATACTCATGTATAAAACATTTTCCGTTCACAGCGAAATCTCGCGTTATGTTTGGAATCATAGTTGTTGAGGTATCAAAACATTGCATGGGATTTGGGAAATGCAACATATTTTGGCAGTATTATGGTGATTAATAACGTGCTTGTGACGTTTTGGGACTACTTTATTGTATGCATCATAATACATTCTTTTGTAATGGTGTTATATGTCACCTGATCACCTGAGTGTATTGATGTGTAAAAAGTAGTGCCAATGGTGTAACTGAAAATGGCAGAAGAAGTTAAACTTGCAAGCTCTTTGGTTTCTTTGATATTTTGTGTGTTTCTGAGTCAACACATCACAATACTATACTTTTATGATGGTAAATTTTCACCATCAAAATTGATATTCATGAAAATAAATCACTGTGTAGTTTGATAACATACACAGGTTGGGTAGGTCAGAGTTTACTGGGTCATTTTTTTTTTTCTTTCCTTTTTTGGACATCACTTACTGTGCTGATTACTTGACTAATATGTTTAATAATGTTTACAGTACAATGGTCCCAATTTGGCCAAAATTCTGGAAAATAAATTCAGTTTTATTCAAGTCTCATTGTGATTTTGCGCCATTTTTGCATGTTTGACCAAACAAATTTAGGGTAGGCAATAAATTGTATGTAGCATAGGGTCAAAGGGGGGAGGGGGTTGTAAATGACAGAGATAAGTCCATAGTCAAAATAAGTAAGAAGCAAATATAATACAGTGAATCTTGCAATGATAGATAACCAATTGTACAATTAACCAATAATTACTTATAACTCTTTCAGGCTCACTTACATAATGTTTTTTAAATTTCCAGGCAATTTATTTGTTTCCCATTATATAAAAAAAATATTTTTCAGTAAGAACTTTTATTCAATAAAAAGAAAATTTGAAAATGAAATTTATTTACTTACCAGTTCCCTAAGTTGCAATGTTACCTTCTCTTGTTGTTTTACCAAGTGTGAATTTAAAGCTCTCTGGAATCTTTGCATCAAAGGCTGTTAGAAAGAACAAATATATGATTGTAATCAGAAATAAAAAATACATAAAAAAACAATTGAAATTGAAACACAGTATTACACATTAATATACATAAATATATATTCAACTGTAAAATGGAAATCCTGTTTAATCTGGCTATGTATTGAAGGCAGATATGTAGTTGTCCAAGCAGTCTTCTGATGAAGTGACACAGCCTTTGACGTACATTTATATAAAATACTATGTGTCATATGCCAAATGTGACAATTATTTTATTTCCCAAGATATCCGGGTCACAAGTTTTTTGTAAACATTACCAAGCAGAAGATTCTGCTGTCATTGAGTTTTCAATATTTCAGGGCATTACCATGTCCATCATAGCTCATTTTACTACACATGTTAAAGACTTCAAATAATACAACTCTGGTTGTATCCATTATTGAATATTTTGTTAACACACTTACATGATCAGGATCAAGAACAACCATTTCACTTTCATCCTCACTGGCTTCAGAATCTAGTAAGTCATCATCTTCACCTTCCTCTGCATCTGAAAAATCATCTCCATCGCTATCTACACCTAAATCCTCTGGTAAAGCTATATCTGTTGTACCTTGCAAATCAGTTGTAAAACCTACAAAAATATGAATAAGCCATCAGTATCTTGAAAACAGTTCTTAAAGTTACCATGCTGAAATGTTGTGTGTGATAATATATGGGTGTAAACAATACATGTCTATTCAACTTGTGAAAAACTGAGGCAAACAGACTCCTGGATTACTAGTCATAAAATCAACCTCCTTTTCTGCCATGGAGCAACCGTGAATCACACCCAGGGAAGTCAAAACTTGTCTATTGGTACTGATAAATACACATGAAGAAGCAGTGAGTATCATTTGTATTTGCATGCTTCATTTACCTGCACTTCTTCTACCAGATCCACCAGATCTTTGACTTGCTGGTCTATTTGGTGATTCAGCCACTGGAGGAGGAGACATCACAGCATCATCCACTGGTGGTGGCAACGCCTCAGTTGGACCATCCTCATCATCAGCAGCTGCACCACTACCACCTGATCTCTGTGATCTTGCCGATCTTGCTGATCTGGCTGACCTGGCTGATTTACCAGACTTGGCAGTAGATGCTCTGCTGGGAGGCCCAGATGGTGGTTTTGCTTCTTCTGTTTCACCTTCTGTCATAAAAAACACACCAGACAATTTAATTTACAAGTTCCAATACATTTTAAATATCTACATATCTCATTCAGTGAAAGCTATCAAATATAATAATGTTGGAAATACCTGGTGGTTGTTCAGGGGCAGTGGTATCATCTTCTTCAGCTGGTTGTTCTTCTACTACTTCAGCAGGAGTCTCATCAGTAGCCGGTTGGTCCACAGATTCAGTCAATGTAGTCTCATCCCCGGTTGGCTGATCTTCAGTGTCCTCAGTTGGAGCAGGCTGATCATCAGCAACCTCTGCTGGCACCTCATCTTCTGTTGGTTCTTCGTCAGCACCCTCTGCAGGAGCTGCTTCACCTTCTGGCTGTTCATCACCACTTTGGGCTTCCACTGTGGGTTGCTTAGGTTCCTCTTCTCCCGCAGGAGCCTCAGCTGCATCTTTAGCACTGGTGGGTCTGTGATTAATCAGATTAAAAAATCAGTATAGACAAAGCAGCCAAATTAAATGATTAACATGGTTAGTTTAAAAGTTCTGCTGAAGATAGTAGTAATATTTCAGGACTATGAAGTATTAACACAACCATGAGCGAGCTAATCCAGTGTACAATTATGTGAGAGAATATATATGTCATGTCACTGAACTGAATAATATTTTTTTTTTTGTGAATTCATGTCCTTGTGTTTGTCATTTATGAGCCGCACATTCTCCAAATTAGTTTGTGTTTGTTTGAATCTATCAATAGTAAATACATGTTGATGACAAAAATGAGAAGGGAGCAATCATAATTTTACTGTGCACAACAATGTCAGACGTGCAATTAACTCAACATAGTACATAAGATGTATGCTGTATTTTCACAAAAAATAACAGGAGTTTGACCAATAGCAGAAAAGATCTTATTGTGACAAACAGTAAGCAGCATGCTTATTGGCCAATGAGAGAGGCAGCATCATTTATTGTGGCATATCCTTAGTTCAGTAATTATCTACCCTATATATTAATATGTTTTTGAAATTCAGTCCCTCACCCCCTTGGCTATCACTGATTTATTGTCGCAGTGACATTGCAAATTTTGGTCCCTCTAGCTTCTCTAATAAATATCCTATCTTACCGCTGGATTAAATTAATGATATTAACCCATTAAAAATAAAAATTATCAAAACCTAAAATGCATTTTGGATTCGTTAAAATAAAATTCGAAATGCTGTGACACTATCTAATTGGTGGTGGAAATTCCAAGCCAGTTTATAAAATTGTGAACAAATATTTTCATAAATATTACTGTCCACGAAAGATGCCCATTGTGCCTTGTCACTGAATAAAATAAGCTGAACAAATTCAAAATCTGAGAATTTCTGATTTGTTTTGATCAAAGGAGTACCCCTTTATCACGTTTTTCGTTTAAATTTCATGTGTTAAATACAATTTTTGTTCTAGTGGTTACACAACTTCCCATATTCATATGCAGGGGTTTCCTTACAAGGCAACTGCATATTAATTAGCCATCTAATGACTTATTAGCTGCCTACTTTTTGAATACTGCTGAAAAGAATACAATTCAACCAAATACTTCCATTATTGAGCCTTCTGATCAAAATTATAGGGAAAACCATGATACCGGTATTACCGGGGGTAGCCGACACGCACCGGATTTGCACTCACTCATCAGGTACATGTACTACAACTTTACTTGTTGCATAGTGTTGTTACGATAGAAATGATTTGAAAATAATAATACGACAGCTCATAAACTATCCACTAGACGCTTGGAACATTCTCCAAAGAAAACGTACCATACCCATATCACAGTAACTTGACATGGGGGACGGTCGATTCGTCCCAAATCACATTCGTCCCAAGTCGATTCGTCCCACAAGTTGATTCGTCCCAAGTCGATTCGTCCCAAAGTCGATTCGTCCCACAAGTTGATTCGTCCCAAAGTCGATTCGTCAGATTTAAGGTTAGCCCACTACTAACTCGCCAAATAAGCACAAACACATCCAAACAACGAACTGTTCACGTACACGTCATGCACTGGCATGCGTAATTGTTCGTTGCGCCTTTTTTTTTTTTGCCAACATTATATACAAATATATTAGTTAATAAATACAAATACACCGTACAAGTTATTAGTCAATAAATACAAATACACCTTACGTGCAACGTAGAGTTATTAGTTAATAAATACAAATACACCGGACATTCAACGTACAAGTTATTAGTTAATAAATACAAATACTCCGTTCACACAACGTGGAGTTATTAGTTAGCGTGTCAGTAACAGTTGGCATAGAAATTGACCCTGTTCAAGATCGTAATGCTGACTAAAAATTTAAAAAATGGACGAATGTGAAATGGGACGAATGTGAATTGGGACGAATCGACTCGTGGGACGAATATGAATTGTGACGAATCGACTTGTGGGACGAATGTGTTGGGACGAAAGTTAATTGGGACGAATTGACTGTGAATCCTTGACATGCATACAGTCGTAGACCCCCCCCCCCCAATGATTTTCTGACTCTGGCCTAAGTGAACTATTGATCACACCAATATGATAATTGTTCAGAATACGTATACAACAATACTATAAGTGAATTCTCTCTTGTAACTTGAGAATAAACGAAAAATTTTAATTTTGCAATGGAATTCTAATCATAATACATCTAAATTAAATATAAATGGTCGACATTTGTCACTGCAAAACATGTTTCAGACCAATCTAAAATAAAGTGAACCAGCTGAATGTGGTCGGTTTTGTGCAGTTTACTAGTCGACACAGTTTTCCCGATGAATCTCTCGTTTGATTAGAGGGAAATCAGCTAAAGTCATTGGAGGTGTTGATACGAACCTATCTTCGTTATCCGCCATCTTGTTGCTATGTGTAGGTAAACCACGCAAAGGTTCATGGGAATAAACAAATTGTCACATGAAAAAACAATCTCATCATGTGACTGTATCACGTGAAAAGTTCTGTATGTCATGTGTTCAAAAATATAAATATGCTAATTATGTGGGCAAAGATGGCGATCAGACTCTGTGATTATTAGAAGCGGCTGTGCAGGTAAATTTTATTTTCTTGTTCTTGTTTCTAGCTGGTTGAATTATGTGTTCGGAAGAAGATCGTGACTTAGTTGCGACCTGCGGTTCCTACTTTTGCCTTGTCCCCGTCTGTTTCAACACAGTTCACCTGATGTTTACCGATCAACTCCACTGTCAGTCGCTGAGTCGGACGATTGTAGGTGCCATTTGATCATGCAACTGCTGCCACTGTACTAGCTGAATCACGCTTAGCGTCGGTGTGTACAGTATGCGTACGATCCAAATAATTATCGAAACTACGTGTAATGAAACACACGCCACAGCGTTATTTTATGACGGAGTAATTTATTGCTGTTTTCAGTAGAAGTGGTTTTAACGACACAGCTGTGAACATATAAATAACTGATGGCACTTTGCGGAAGCTCGGTGTTGTATCTCCCTCTCTCAGTCACTGGCTTCATATTTTTAGATTTCACATTCACAAATTATTGCCCATTGAATTGCCAAATGATATTTCTGTTTTTCATGTGTTAGCTGTTTTTTTGTTTGCTTTTTAAGTCAGAAAAGAAAATATCCATGTCTGTATGACTATTTTAAATGTACTAGAACTTGATACTAGATAACCTCTATTATGCTAAATATCCAGCATTATTAAACCATGTAGAAAATTTTCAGGTTTATTTAATTACTGAGATCAATCCATTTTTTCTGCAAACTAACGAGACAAGATTTTGTAATGTACCGGTACTAATTGATCAGTTTGATTTGCTTCATAATGTGTTATTTGTTATTGTGTGGCATTCATAACAGCTGTGGAACAATAATGCAATCAGTCACTGATACAAGGTCGTTAACCCTCATTTTAGGACCAGGAAATTATTTGTCATTATACCATTGAAGTTTACATGTACAATAAACTAATATTGAATGAAATATCATAATTTAAGGATGACTAATACAGTTTGACAAAAACATATGAAGTTTTCTCAATTTTTGGTACATTAGGAGATTGTTCTATTTAGTAATATTATAAAAATAAGGTCACTAACCATTTTTTAGAGAAAATCATATGTTTGTATTACACAGTACACAGGATCTATTTGGAAAACTTAAAAATGACAATTTGAAATATAAAAAACAGTAATTTCTTTTACTGTCATTACCATATTGTTCAGAACACAAAAACAGCAACATTGCCAGCTAAGTTATGTGTTTAGAATAAGTCGGGTCAAACCAATCAAAACAGGAGACATCAAACTGATAGTGGGGGATTCAGACACATTAACATGATGTATTTAGGCAAATGATGCATCTTTGTAACTGACCACATAAAATTGCATCCGCATTCACTTCATAGATTTTGTGACAGAGCAACGACGACCATACCCAAGTGTATAGAACGTTTCCTGAAAAACTTTGAGATTTTTTATTTATTTTGCACAGAGATTCATGGAGTCATACTCGATGATACATATGATGAAAAAATAAATCCCCAAATAAACCATTTTTGAGATATAATACTATGATTTGCATTATGCTCACCCTCATACATGTATGAGTTTTTATACAAACTACGGGCATTGTTCGTCCAAAAGTAAAACTGTATTGAACAACTTTAATAAAAAAACATTCAGTTTGCATATTCCTACTTGAATCAACTAAAAACAAAAACACTGAAATTCAATAAAGAAAAATGAATGAATAAATTACTAAATAAAAATGTAAGCACTTAAAATATTTGTAGTTTTTAAGTAGTGGTTTTTACTGGCACTGCATCACATTGGTGAGAAGTATACATGTCATGGGACCATGACTAATATGTGAACTCACATATGTTCCATAGATAATAAAAATAGTTATTATTTTAAAAAATTCTAAACAATTTGATTTTCTGTGTAAATTATTCTAGTCATTTTTATTACCCCACTCTGTTAGGGTGATTCATTTTCATGATCTCCCTTTTTTTAGTCACAGACAAAAATTGTATATTTCTAGTTATTGCACACGCCAGTTTAAAATCTGTGTTTATCCTTATATGCATTTAGTTTCATTCCTGAGTGTTGGTACATGTAATAGGCACTCTTAACATTGATCAACAACTTGTCACTTGCAAAGTCATGAGTCATGTTAAATCTGCAGTGTGACCTTTGACCTGTTTCCATCAACAGGTGGTTTCTGTGTCTATATTATTCTGTCCGTCTTCCACAAAGATTCCTTCAATATTCACAACGAGTTGATCGTTTAATAAAATCTCATTAGCGTGTTTTGCTCTTTACGAATTGATGAAAAAGGTTCTGGTTATACACTGGGGATTAGTAATTCTAATGCAGTCAATTTGATTTCTAGTTGATTGGTCTCCTCTCAGAAACTTCCAATTACGTACCATATGGTGATTCAATCAAGATTTGATATTCTCTAAATCGAATTGCTTGAAAATCTAATTTATTGAAGTTTGCCAATAGCAACATAATTATTCTGAGTGATACCTAGCATTGATTTGTCTGTATAGCATGTGAATAATTGATGAACAAGTCGATTCATGCCCACTTAATAGGATGTATCATTGCGTGTACTACAAATGCAAATAATTGTTTTGTTTTTTTAAAAACAGTTTCAAAAATTGTTATAAACACTTTGAAGTGTTCAGGTAATAAATTTGTACTCATATAAACATATATATCTAATGTTGCTATTAAAAACAGATGGTTAAGTATACATGTAGGCATGGAAATATTAGTATAATTATATTTGTTATAGTCACATCCTGTTTTTGTGAGTTTCAGGCAACTGTTTCCTGCATTTGGGTTCCAGTAATTACAATTACAAGACTTTCTTCCTTTAAAAGTATGTCTTCAACTCTGTCAGTAATGTGTAATCTTTCTGATGTCCTTTCAGAAAACAGATAAAGTTGACATCAACGGTAAAAGGGTCAAGTTTGACAGCCCAGTCTGTGATTATAAACATCAACCCTGTAATAATAATGAGTTGTGATCATCACCACATTATTGAGTTTTGTGTGAGGCTTTTCTCTCTCTGTCATTAGTGAATGTCCTAAATTGAGATTTTTTTTCAAAATTCACTAAATTTCTCAAGATGAATTTAATTAAATATTCATTATGAATAATATTGGAAATATTTGCTCTAGATTTTTTTTCGTTCTGAATTATTACTTTACTAAGACTCAAAACAATTCTGGTAGCACTCAGGTCACAGTGATGCATAGTACACATTAAACACAAAGCGTCAATTTGTCTCATACCTTTCTAGATGCATAGTACACATTAAACACATACCTTTCTAGATGAAACAGGATTACCTTTACTCAGAAGGTAACAAATATTGACTTTGGAAGTGAGAAGAATTCAGTTTACCAAAATATACTGAAATTCATTAATTACTACCTTATACTAAAATATGTTTGGATATTTTACACATTTCCACTTATGGTCCGGTTAGATCTAAAATACACCACGAATATTCACTTTTGAGATATAATTTTTGGTTTGTGTTGATTCTTGGATATTTTATCTCTGTCGTCCTGTACTTCGTTTAGTAATTGAAACTTCCCAGTTTGCGTACAAAGGGTGAGTTTCGCGATTTCGACATTGAAAATGTCTTTGCTTCATTATTTGCTGAAGGGACGATAGCTTAGATATGTGCTCTGTAACTTGCAGCAAATGAACCTAAAAACCTTAGGTAATCAAACAAAAATGACGTTGTTCTAAAGTCCAAAAAGTACGTTCAAGGTCTGCAGTTTTTCGTAGCATAAAAACGATTTGCTCCCTTGCTTATTGTGACACTCTCAAATCAACTGATTTCCATTCCCCTCATGAGTCAAAATGGTATGTGCCTCCATTTTACGCCATGACTCAAAAAAGTCTTTTTTGCTTGACGTGTTCATTTGCCTTCAATTGCGTTTCAGTAGTCGTCACAGTCGTATTCTGAGTCTTGTCGATAAGATTTTGGTTCAAATATCGCCGAAAAACTCAAATTTTCAACTAAAGCTAATTTGCATAACAAAGTTTTTGCCCTTGGTCGCCATATTGGACACTGCATATAACTAAGGAAATTCGCCTTGATAGGCAAAAATGTATTTGCACTGAAGTACGTTCAAGATCTGCACTTACTCATAGCATAAACACAGTTTTTACCCTTGATTACTAAAATCATAATATAATTGAGGTATCTAACGCCGCAGTAAGTAGTTTCGATCTTTTTCGCTTGAAAGGCAAAGGCGATAAGACTTGATTCTCAAGGACACAGGTCGTTTGGATCCGACGTTGTTTTAGGAGGTAATAAATTTGGGGCAAAAGTATTCAAAAATCAGTTTTTTGCTGTTGCAATGGCAGTGGTGGGCCAGGATTTTTTTTCAATTTAGTTATGGTATTTACTGTGAATCACAGGATTCTCATCGATAGGTTGAGATCAAATTTTGGTTTAAATGGTCTCATCATTAAATGGTTTGAGTCGTATTTGAGTAACCGCACTCAAAAAGTGAAAATTGGAAATGTATTTTCTGATATGACGTCTATATTAGAAACCGGTGTTCCACAGGGCTCCGTTTTAGGGCCATTATTGTTCTCAATGTACATGCGTTCATTGGGCGAGTTATTGCGACGTCACAGCGTAAAATATCATTTTTACGCCGATGACACACAGATTTATTTATCGGTTTCTGAAGATGATCAAATTCGTGCCCGGGTGATACTTCAAACATGTATTCAAGGTGTTGGCGATTGGATGTCTTGTAATTTTCTACTTTTGAATGTGTCGAAAACTGAATTTGTGTCCATGTCGTCTCGGAGTTTCTCACAAGACTCGTGTCTTTT